CCACTATGCAGAGAGAAGACTTCTCCCCAACCATGTTCCCTTACACTGTGGATGTGGACGAGCCAAACTCGGAGATCTACTCCTTCAAGGGATCTATGTAAGCATTGCTTGCCAAAATTATTTTCTTTTAGTTTATTACATCCGAGAGGCTTCTTCTTGCGGCTGAAGCTTCTTCCCAAGATTCCGAGTGTCTGCCCCTAGCGGCTGGTGTTGTCCAGGGTGGTGATGCACATTGATATAAGGATTTTCTCCTCTAAACAGCTATGAATATGAATAAAATTTGTACCTGAGCGGGTGGTTGGAGGGCGCCACTGGTAGGTCCTGCTGCTTTACTTTCCCTCTGTCTTTCTGTCTGTCTGTCTTACTTTTTCCCAACACTAAATAACCATTATTGTTTCGATGTGTTTCGATGTCTGTTGTCTTGATTCGAAGCGCGTGTTGTGGAATTAGTATAGCTGAGTTGTCAAAAAAAATGAATTCTGTCAAATCATGAAAATCAATCAAGGGGGTGAATGAGTTAAGTAAGGGTTTTACAGCCCTTGCAACCCAAATAGGTTATATATAAGTGCCGAGGTTTGAGGTGTTACTAGTGAGTAGCATACAAAGAAAAAGGAAGGGGATAGATAAGGCCACTAGATGTTTGATAGGAAAGAAGGATCAAACCAGAGCACCAACCAACCACTTTCAGCAAAATGACTGAAAAATCTTGTTCTTATTAAACAACTGACATTGTTTTTCTTGGTGTGCTGTCCCAGATAACCATGGGCAGAAAAACAGAAAGTGAATGCATATTTGGTTTTGATATATTCTATACAATGAGTTGTGTTTTTGTCCTCAGCAACATGGATGGGGGAACAAAGGCTTCACTAAACAGCAGTAACTTGCTGCTTCGTGGATGCAGTATTCGCAATACAGACTTCATCGAAGGACTGGTCGTGTATGCAGGTAATGTAAGATAAGATATGTTATGAGCAGACAATACTTTATTTTCCCTCTGGGAAATTTTCTGTGGCTGTACTGGTATGGTAAAAAACACTTGCCGATGTACATAGAATTAAAATTGTATTTATTTTCATACACAAATTGCAATATGAAGTGTAAAAATAAAGCTGATAAAAATACAACATGCAGGGATTTATCACAGATTTCAAAAGCTATACAGATATATTCGTATAATGTATTTTGTGCGTAGTTAAAAAATCAACCGGGGTACATATTTAATGTTCAGTTCAACAGAAGTCTTATTGCTGATGGTAGGAAACTTGTCTTGTATCTATCTTGATTTGTTCTTAGTGGTATGTATCTGCTGCTGTGTGATCTTCAAATTTGTATGGAAAGGGGGTGGGATGGGTCGTTCAACTCTTTATCTCCGTAGGGGTTAAATATTCACTATATCCCCCCCTGGGCAATTCTACTGACTGAAGTGTCTTTAGGCCTTTCCCGAAGGGGGGAATATTAACATGTTTTTATGCACAGTAGAATTGTAAATGGGCTGATTTATCAATATCACTCTCATACTGTGCTGGAACAACATAGGGGGAACTGCTGCTTTTTCTTTCTTCAGCTTTACTATTGTCTTTTCTCCTCTACTTCTTTTGTATGCTTGTCACTCTCTTGTGAACTGTTATTTCCGAGGTGCCTTGATAGTCTAAGCAGACTCTCTGCTGTTGAGGCTAGAGAGATGAGCAGAGTAAGCCTGAATCCCTGTTTCGACTTCTCTGTTGACATCTACCCCTTTTCACTCATATGACCTTATGCAGTTGCAAGCGCCGTAAAACATTACTAAAACAAACAGACCCACTATGCCGGGCCCCTTCTTAAGTAGGTCTACAAAATCTAAAAATGACAGAAGCGTCACTAAATGGGTCATTAAATCAAAACAAGTGAACCTATTTTGATAATTATTCATCTAATGAATGAACTGCCGATAAAAGAGACCTGTTTTTTGGCAATTGCCGAAAAGTAATTTGATGTTGAAGTCGTCGTAAAGGAATGCGCCTGGGCTGCTTTGAGCAGCTCATCGGCACAGGGGTTTTGACCGCGAGCCGCTGGGAGTGGCGTGCCGGAGATAAAGAGTTAAAATGCTGTTAATTTTTTTTTTATATTGGTTATCAGTTCTGTTCAAATCATGTGCAGAGATCCTGCTGACTTTCTATGGTCTGTTTTCTATGCTGACATGCTGGTAAAACTTTTTCTATTGCTAATGTCCTGTTGCTTTATTTTCATATAAAAGTTAATCAATTACAGTATTAACAGTGTTGATAGAAGTACTCTGGAAAAGCATACTGTGCAGAATGCAAAGCTTAATTTACAGGCGTGAAGAAAAAACAAAGCTGGATTCTATCTCTTTATTTTTGTGATGTGAAAGAATGGGAGAGCTTTTTCATGCTTTTTTTGGCTTCTAAAATAAAATTATACCTTTCTTTTCAGTTTCTGTTTCTGGTCGTCATTTCTTTTCTTTCTTTTTTGAAAATTCTTGTTACCAGCAGTCTTTTTTCTTCTTATGTTTGTTTCTCTTAAGTTCCTGTTTATAGTGGTCTGTTCTCATATTTTGTTTCTTTAGTTTAAGTCCCAGTTTATAGCGGTCTGTTCTCATAATTTCTTTCTTTCGTTTAAGTTCTTGGTTCTAGGGGTCTTCTGTCTTTTGTCTTTTTTTTCTCTCTTTTGTTTTTCATGATCCTGTTTCAAGCAGTCTTTTCTCATCTTTTCTTTGTTTCTTTTGAGTTCAGGAGGAGAGACAAAGGCCATGTTGAACAACAGGGGCCCTCGTTACAAGATCAGCAAGCTGGAGGGCAAGATCAACCGTGACGTCATCTGGTGTGTCATACTGCTCCTCTTCCTCTGCTTCTTCTGTGCCATCGGTGAGTCGTTGTTTCTGTTTATGGGTGGTGTTTTGTGCCCCCTTCAAAACAGTTTAGGTAATTTTGGAGGCAGGATGTTTCAACACCTTCGTTTCTCGAGGTCAACTCATTCTGAGGGTGTTCGGCTGTACAGTATCTGAGCAGGAAAACAGAAGTTATAGGGTAGAATAGATTTCCCCAGCCACGAATTGAACACTGGCTTTGAATGCATTGACAAAGAGACTCACCACAGACGCTGGTCGCTTGTAGTGTGTGTGGAAATATATAAGGATCTGACATGTTTTGATACATAGAGAAATATCTTGAATTTGTAAGAAATAATCAGAGTGATTTCAGTGGTTGCTCGTGCTGTGACGCAAAATATGACACTCATGCGCACTCACAAATGCGCACTCACAAACACGCTTGTGTGTGTGTTTGCACGCGTATGTGTGTGCGTCCGTATGTGTCAGTTTGTCTGTGTGTATGTGTTTTTGGAAATTCTTTGAGTATAGTGATGTGAATAAAACCTAATATTATAACCGGCAAGTTAAACGAGCACCCGTTGACTGTTGACGATGTGTTTCCAGGAAGTGGCATTTGGCTGGCCGACTACAACAACCTGACGGAGAACACCAACCTGGTGCCCTTCATCGCATTTGGTGACCTTGACCAGTACAGTCCCCTGTATCAGGGCTTCATTGTCTTCTGGACGTATATCATTATCTTCCAAGTGAGAAAAAATTATTGTTTGTTCTTTTTCCTTTTTTTTTCTTTTTCTTTTGTCTCTGTCTCTCTTACTTTCTCTCTCTGTCTGCCTCTAGCTCTATTTTTCTCTTTCTTTTTCTCTCTCGATTCATCTCTTTCTTTAGCCCAGCCTGTATTATTTCTCTCTCTCTGTCTCTCTCTCTCTCGTCCTCTTTGTCTCTCTCTCTCTCTCTCTCTCTC